GCACCAGATCTCATTACAGATGGTTGTGAGCTACCATGCCGTTGCTGGGAATTGAACTCAGGACCTCTGGAAGAGCAGCCAATGCTCTTAACTGCTGAGCCATCTCTCCAGCCCACCCATTTTATTTTTATTTAAACTTTTAAAAATATTTTGTTTGTTTCAAGGTAGGGTCTCACTATGTAGTCCTGGTAGGTCTGGTACTTAATACGTAGCCTGTCAGGTTTCAAAGACACCTGGGGTAAGTCTCAGTAGGCTCCTCCCAGCACTTTTCACCCCTCTCCCTACCCTAAACCTCTTCAGCCCCGGGGATGAACTTCACTTTCCTCCCCCAGCTTCTCTGATCTCTATATAACCCAGTCATTTTGATTTGGCACTCTTTTTGGTCTCCTTCCTTGCTCTTGGCCTCCAGACCTACTGTTCCTCTCTTGGTCCACTTGTCTCCTCTCTCTTCTCTTCCTCTTCCACTCAGTCCCCTCCTCTCATTGCCTGGTTCAGTCTGGACCCTTCCAGATGCCTCTGTTTTCTCCCTCATATCTACAGTAAAACCTTCTCCTCGACCAGACATAGGAGCAATCACGTCCTCAATTTTTCACTCATAGTCCAGTCTGGCCTGGAATTCACAGAGATCATCCTTGCTCTGCCTCTTGAGCACTGGAACATAGGTGTATACTACAACAACTAGCTTATTTATTGATTGCTTATTTACTGAGGAAGTGAAAGGGTGGAGTCTATTACTTACAGGTATTAGATGGACATAGATAACTGCAACACCCTGTTGCAGTCCAACAGCTCCACTCAGTTTGTGATGATGAGTTCATCCACGCTGCCCTGCATAGTTCACATCTGGCAGGTGTCGACAAATGATGATGGCTATCTTTCAGGTCTGGTGCTCTATCATGGCAATGAACAAAGGGTCTGTCTCCTTGACCAGCTCCACCATCACAGGACAAAAATTACAGTGTGGAGTGCTGGGCATCTAAGCTCACTCATTTTGGCTCAGTGTTCTCCTGACCCTCCTGCTCAGCATTTTCCAAGTCATCTGCTTTCTCCTCCTCCCATAGTCAAAGTCACATCATCAAATCTTGCCTTTCTCTGACATAAACATAGACCAATGAAAACCACACCTCCATCCATCCATCCATCCATCCATCCATCCATCCATCCATCCATTCATTTTTGGTGCAGTCTCATGTAGCCCAAGCTGGCCTAGAATTCACTATGTAGCTGAGGCTAGCCTTGAACTTCTGATCCTCTTGCTTCAAATTCCCAAGGGCTGAGAATACACTCCTATGCCACTGCGCCTGGCCAGAACTATAATTTTAATTTTAATTTTTGGTTTTTCAAGATAGAGTTTCTTTGTATAACAGCTCTGGCTGTCCTGGTACTTGCTTTGTAGACCAGACCTGCCTCAAACTCACAGAGATCTTGCTTGTCTTTGCCTCCAGAATGCTGAGATTAAAGGTATGCGCCACTGCCGCCCAGCCCTAATTTTAACTTTTAAATTACATGTATTGTGTGTGTATATGTGTGAGTGGGAAGGTGCCACAGTGTGTGTGCAGAGGTCAGAGGACAATGTGTGGGAGTAGCCTCACTGCTTCCATGTAGGTGCTGGGAATCGAATACACAGCATCAAGCTTGGCTGCAATATCTTTACTCAATGAGTCATCTTGCTGGCCCCCAGAGTCAGAATCTTAGAATGGAAGGAAAACTTCAGTATTTTTGTTTGTTTGTTTGTTTTTCCAGACAGGGTTTCTCTGTGTAACTGTGCTGGCTGTCTTGGAACTTGCTTTGTAGACCAAGCTGGCCTCGAATCTGCAGAGATCCGCCTGTCTCTGCCTCCTGAACGCTGGGATTAAAGGCATTCGCCAACATACCCAGCTGAAAACTTCAGTCTTAAACAAATCCCAATATTTAGGGCTGGAGAGATGGTTCAGCAGTTAAGGGCGCTGACTGCTCTTCTAGAGGACCCTGGTTCAATTCCCAGTACCTACATGGCAGCTCACAACTGTTTATAACTCCAGCTTCCAATACTCTCACATAGACATACATGCAGGCAAAATACCAATGTACATAAAAACAAACAAATTATTTTTAAAAACCCAATATACTACAAATGAAGAAATTAAGGTTCACTAGTCTTTACTGTGGAGACTGGCACTGAGTAGGTCTTCAGTAAATATTGTTTCCCACGCCACCTAAGTTGTTCATATGACAGTCCATATGAGACTACAAGGTTCTCAACTTCAAAACCATTTTGGTTCAACTCTCTTACACAAGGTTATGTGGTTCTACTGGATCTACTGGTCCATAAATCCACGGTATTATTTCATTTATTTATTGCATTGCTGGCAATTGAACCTATGGCCTGGTGTATGCTAAGTAAGCACCATTAAACTACCTTTCCAGTTTTCTCTTTCTCCTCTATCTGTGTATCTATGTATCCATCCATCCATCCATCCATCCATCCATCCATCCATCCATCCACGTATCCAGCTACCTACCTATCTATCTCTGTTATGTGTTTGTGTTTTGACACAGGCTTTACTCTGCATCCCAAGAGTACCTGGTGCTCACTAAATACTAAATAATCCAGGTTGACTTCTAACTCACAACCCTTCTGTCTCGGCTCCCCAGTGCCGGTATAACAGATGGGAGACATCGCACATGGTTTCATTTATTAGCTTTATTGAGATATAGTTCATATACCATACAACTTAAGTACAAAGTAGAATGCCTTTTAGTATATTGACAGAGTAGAACATCACTTCAATTTCAGAAGATTTCCATTACCATAAAAGAAATCTCACACCCATTACTGATCACTTCCATTTATCATTATCATGCCTCATGCCCCCAACATTAGGTAACCACTAACTTACTGTCTGTGTCTCTAGATTCCACAATTTATGGACATTTCATATGAGTGGGACCATATATTTCATTTAGTGTATGTTTTTAAGATTAATCCATGTTGCAGTATGTACTTTATTAATGAATATTATTCCATTACACACATTTGTTGCACTTTATCCATTCATTAATTTTTTTAAAGATTATGTGTATGAGTGTTTTGCTGCATGTATGTATATGCATTATGAGTGTGCATGGTGACTGAAGAAGTTAGAAGTAGGCACTAGATCCCTTAGATCCCTTGGAACTGATTGTAGGAATGGTTGTGAGTCACCACATGGGAGCTGGGAACTGAATCTGGATCTTCTGGAAGAACCACCACCGCTCTTAACTGTTGAGCTATCTCTCCAGCCCCTATTCTTAAGTTTTTACAAATCTTTTGTGTGTGTATGATGAGTTTATGTGCACCACTTGTATGTCGGTGCATACAATGTATGGCCCACAGAGGCCAGAAGAAGTAAGGTCTTTTGGAGCTGGAGTTACAGGTAGTTGTGAGCTGTTGCATATGGGTGCTGGGAACCTAACTGTGGTCCTCCACAAGAAAAGTAAGCACTCTTATGTGCTGGGCCATTTCTCCCATCCCTTATTTTAATTTTAAGATTTATTTATTTGGGGAGGGAGCACATGTGGACATCACGAAAGAGCTTTCAGGAGTTGGTTCTCTCCTACCATGTGGGTTGGTGACAAAACTCAGGTTGTCAGGCTTGGTGGCATGGAACTTTACTCATGACCTATTTTTATTTTTTCAATTATTTGTGTATGTGTTTGTGGGAGTCTGTGCATGTGTGAATGCAGTGCCCCTTGGAGTCCAGAAGTGGTTACTGGATTCCCTGGAGCTTTGTGAACCCAGGTTCTCTGCAAGAGCAGTACTTGCTTGTTTTTTGACCAGAGATCAGTACATGTCTTACCCACCGAGGAATCTCCCCAGCTCACTCTTATGTTAATTAAAAAATTGTCTTAAGTTACATTTTATTTATGTATGTGCTACATCATGTGTGTGAAGGTCAGAGGACAACTTGTGGGAGGTGGTTCTTTTTACCATAAGACCTGGGGATCAAACTCAGGTTGCCAGACTTGGTGACAGGCACCCCTACCTGCTGAGTCATTTCACTGACCCCTAAATTTTATATTTTGAAGTAAGGTTTTGCTCTGTGGTCCAGGTAGGCCTGGAGCTTATGATTTTTCTGCCTTAAACTGATGACCTGATTTGGATGTCAGGGATTTACATGGTGGGAGGGAATAACTTACTCTGACCTCCATTTGTGTGTCCACGGCACACACACACACACCCCAAAAATGTAAAAATTAAAAAATAAGTAGCACACATCTTTAGTCTCCAAAACTTGGGGGGCAGAAGCAGGCAGATCTCTGAATCTGAGTCGAAGCTGGTCTACAAAGCCAGTTCCGGGACAGACAGAGCTACACAGAGAAACCCTGTCTCAAAAAACAAAAAACAAACACACAAACAAAAATTTCCCCCCCAAACGTTAAGTGTACAATAATATTGTAGAAAGACAAAATAAAGTCTCCCTCTAAGTCTTCCAGATCTTCTGACTACAGGAAAATAGAGGTACCTTTGAAGACTAAGTGACAGCACTCATGAAGCGGTAGGGAAGGGAGAGAGAATATTCACAGCAGGACTTCCAATGTAATATCAAAGAAAAAAAGCCAACGTTTTCAAGAGGAGATTAAGAAGTGGTCGGTGGCCTGAAGGGGAAGGCTCAGTGGTTAAGAGCATTGGCTGCTCTTCCAGAAGATCCCGGGTTTGATTCCTAGTACACATGTGGGGGCGCACAACAGCTAAAATGCCAGTTCCATCTGATGTGACATCGTCTTCTGGCACTGCACGCTTGTAGTATCCAGACATGCACGCAGGCAAAACATTCATTCACATAAAAGGATTGTTTTTTTAAAAAAGGGATAGGCTATTTTGGGCTATGCCTCAACTAGCTGGGCAGCATTCCTATAACCCAGATGTATACACAGGGTAAGGGTGAGAAAGGGAGACCTCAAACTTAAGGGGTAGTGGTGTGGGGGTGAGGGAGAGTGGCAAAACAGACACAAAGTTAGTCCTGATAACAGTTCTCATCTTTTTCATTTTGAGTTTATAGATTGGCACTGGCTCAACCTCCGTAGTGTTTTTGTTGGTTTCCAGGAAGATCAAAAAAGTAGGAGACTTTGGGGACGATCTGGATCCTCTAAACACTAAATTGAGGGTATTTAGAACCCCAGGAGCTGGCCGATTTTCTCCCAAATAACTTGTCTATTTAAGTCCTCCCTTATTTTTAGATGAGTCGGAGTCGTTGTACTTCTGAGTCACCTATGGCAAAGAGAAGGGGCTTTTAGGAGTGTCTTCCGGCCAACTTGAGGATGGGAGATGAGAATACAGGGAAGTGATCTTTGACTCAGCCTGCCCAGGGCTTGGGTGTTGTGGCATTCCCCACAAGTGACGCACTCCCAAGCGGGGTGACCTCATGTATCACGGGACTTATTCCCACCACTGACTCCACCCCATATCCTCCGCAGCTTCTCATCCTCTCACTTACCAGCTCCGCCTCCCTTTCAAGATCTGAGAGGGGGTGGGGTGGCTGCAACCTAGAAATGCCTTTCGTGGGCGGGGAGCAGAGACACCCAGTGTTTGGGAAAATGCTAGAAGTGGCACGCACTTTCCCTTCTCCAGATGCTTGGCACTTCTGGTTTAGGTTATCCCTTCTTTTCTCTAATCCCAACCAGTACGATCTTACTCGAGGCAGCCTTATCCTTTGGACAGTCCTCCTCTTAGTTAGGCTTGTTTCCCTCGTTCTCTCTTTTCCATTTTTCTCTGAGTCCGGAATTCTCAGTAGGAAGTGGTCGGCTCGGCTCTCTTTCCTGCTCTAGCTGCGTGACCTTGACTAACCCACAACTTCCCTGGGCCTGGTTTCTTTGTCTGTGAGACAGGGGCCACACGTCTGGCGCGCCACGAAGGCGCTGTGTGAGCTGTAGACAAGCGAAGAAGGCGCTCGCAATCCCGTCGGGAAAGAGGAGTTGTCACCCTCCAGAGCCCCTCCCTTTCCTCCGGGAGCGCCCCGCAAACGCAGCCTCCGGCTGTCACTTCCTCCGCCGGCCGCCTCCCGGCCCGCGCGGCGCCGGGTGTTGG